TTTTATATTTAAATTTCTAGATAAAATATTAGCGTGATTTTACAATTTTTTTATCTATAATATAAAATATATATATGAAATTATATTAAAAATATTAGTTTCTAGCTACAAAAAAATGTAATATTCGAGAATATCGGAATAAAAATACGTTCCGCCTAAAATTCAATTTATTCATTCTTATATTAGAAACAAACGACAGCTTTTAGACAATGAATTGAAATCTTGCGAATCTGTAAGTTGTGCGATACATATCATGACTAACTACGTATGACTATAAGCGCGTATATCACGGCGTAGATTTTAAGGAGCGGTAGGTAAAAGTGGCTGAGAGTTGAACATAAACGGAGGAAGACACGCGAATGACAACTGGCGTGGAACGATGAAACAAATCGTATTGCTGTAAATCGACGTCGATTAACCTTGACGGATAACAAAATTATTCCAAGAGACGAAAAGTCCCTGTCTCGAAACGATAACTAAAGGAGCAATGTTCCCTTGAGAGGATCTAACAATTACCCCTTATAATCACCGGATCGAAAATGTATCGATCCTATTCATTTTCTTTCATATTGTATGTATCGTTGCAATTTCTGTTCTTTCGCCCATTAATCATCGTGACATCATTATACAACGTCAGCCTCGAGTTCACATTTTGGATTCGGCATTGACCTTTTTCTCGAAGTAAATGTTTTCGTCATTTCTTGCAGACACGTGGAACGCCATTCCATGATAGCTATCGTAGATTGCGTATCAATTCAAAAATAGAATAATTTTCTGCCGCGATCCGTTTGCCGATGAAAAAAATATTTTGTTTTTATGTTAAATTTGCTTTTAAAAAATGATCTAACAATTTAATTTAAATTTATACAAATATTAATTTAAAAAAAAACGTAACTCTAACAATATTGCCAAATTCCAAAAATAAAATCCATTAAAATGATTCTCTAGGGAGGGTCGGAATAATTTGTTGACTGAGATAAAAGCTTTCGCCAAATGTGGCTATGAATTTTACTTTCAATTTACGACATGCGACTTAGAGGTAGATCAAATTACTCGCGGTTGATCACGTCACCGTAGCCGCGAATAATTAAATCGGCCGGAGAAATAAAAACTTATTAATAACGTTTCGCACGCATAAAGTATGACCTGAGCACTTGATCACATTTAAGTAAAAAGTAGACTAACAAATTGCGTGTATCGCATGGGATTTTAACTGTTTAACCTTGTAACAATCTCCATTTCGGTATTACTCTCCTAATTTGCGTATCTGCGTGACTCCTTTTTCTCTATCCTTCATCAAAAGTGCGAATGTGTCCAAAAAATAATTTTTGTCCGATATATTTTCATCCCTTACTTTTTGCCTATATTATAGAGAAATCTATAACACACGGTGGGAACTTCACGCGAACTCTATCACGATGAACACGTGGCCAGAGTAATATATCGGATCGTTAGAAATAGCTGCACCAGAAAAGGCAATTTATTCTGTTAGACTATGTATCTTGCTTTATGACCGGCAATCATGATTACTGCATTTTAAAAATTTAGATTAGTGAGCAAATTATCTAAGAATCTCTTCGATGTTTTTTCAATAATAGTGTTTACTATCAAATATGTATATATTATTGAGTTACGTAACATTTTAATAAATAATTATATATATAATTTGATGTAAACATTTTAATTAATAATTTTAATACACATTTGCTACATAAAATGTGAAATATAATTCAAACAGGTCGACAGGTCGTGTTTAAAATGCATCTTGAATCTTCTTCAAAGTTGTAAATTTGTGCTATAAGAATATATGTCCGTCTGTCCGCCCCATTTTCTCGGGTGAAAGTAAAATTCAAGCTGTTCCAAGGAGAGCTTCATTCCCTTTCGCGATTCGTGTGAGAGGCATCGCGAGAATACTAGGTGGAATTCCTAGGCACGCCGATCACTTCCGCTTTCGTTTCCAACGGGAAGACCAGAAACAGACTATCCTGCACAGAGCGACTTTGCCAGCCGGCAAGTGCCCATTCCTGGAGTTATTGATCCGACTCGATGAGCGTGTTCGACTCCGTCGTTCACGTGTGCATACACGGATGTGTCACATAATATGACAAAGTTGACGCGTTTAAACAAGGGTGGCGGGCCTCTTCCTGATGAAGAGAGGATGAACTCGCCGAATGACCAAATCGGCCTCGATTTCAGAGCGTAATTTCGACTTTTAATTAAAGAAGCGATCGTAGATGTGATATGAGGTAGCACGGGATAGCACAGCCTTCCCATTAGCACTGAAGTTGAGGAAAATAGAATTCTATCAAAAGGTGGAAGGTTCAGTCTCGTGCGCTGTTGCTAATTGCGCAATTAGTCGTTTTAAATTAATCGATGACATATCAGTTTCATTGATATATGATCTGTGACAGCCGTAACAGTTTTTACCGGGCAATTAAAAGTCGCCGCAAAAAATTAAAAAATTAGTGAAGTACAGCAAAATTAAATTTATAATTATAAATATAACAATGACATACTTTTTAAATTTATTTAATGATATAATGTCATCTGCAATATTTGGACTAGTTTATTTTTAATTAAATAATTAATTCTAGGAATTGAAATCAACCTCTTACACCTCTTTATTTATTAAAGTAATTACAAATAATATTACTTTGTAATTGCTGCATGTGATACTAGTGCAGATAAGGAAAAAAGTTCCGCGTGGATTCCTTTTATCAAAAATTCTGTAGCGTTTGATTAAAATATGAAAGAGATTAGTTTCGACTGTTAATGGAATACTAACACGAAGTAACTTTATTATTGACAATGCCATTCTCTTTTTTTTTCGCGAAAGAGGACGTTTCGCGCGTGAGACATGCATGCGCTAATTTTGATTTTTTGTCGATTGCACGCGATCGATACCGAGCTCACGCAATGCATGTAATTCTACGAGACCTACATTCGGGTCATCGAATGGCAAGTAACGATGCAATTTTCTACCGAGGCTTTCTTGTGCAGTGACAAAAAAAAAGAAAAAGAAGAAGAAGCTCGTACAACTACGCTCACGTCACTCTTCTTCGAATTCACTTTCGATGGCATCGCGATCGGAACTCATCGCGCTAATTGCTCTTAACAATGAGAAAAATTACTCTTCGTTATCGCTATCATAACGCACGACGTTTATCGATGTCCTATAAATAGCTCTTGTAATGTCGCGAGACTGATGTAAAAGGAAAGAAAGAAAATATACGATTTGGGTTACGCCCAAATAAAAATACGACGACGCGAAAGCGCGACACATTTAATATAATAAATTACATATTACATCCGCATTTCATGCTGAGGTTGTTTTACGCTGAATCATACTCTTGGGGATGACTCAATTAATTATAGCTTTTTGTGCTTACTTGTGCAGTAAAGTACTATATAATACAATCGGCGTTGTCAGGCTTGATTAAACCAATGATACGACTTAACAAAATGGGAAATAAAAAAATCATGTAATTCGTATTTTGTAGGGAGCTTTGAAAATTATTGTACATATTTTTGAAATTTGCAGGCTGTATCTTGGAAAAGCAGAAAAGACATATTGGGGGTAATGGCATATAACAGCGACGGTGGTGCGTCACTAGGACATAGTTTATGGTTGACGTGGTTTTATCAACGGCATCTTTGAATTACCCGCGGTGGAGGTGTAATTGTCATGCGTCAGTCATCGATAACATGCAGCAACACTTCCTGGATGTTAACCCATTTACCCGCCTTACGATCGTTTTATCAGTGAGATTCACGTGGCGGATAGAGAAACGTGACATTAAAGCTTAAAACTGATGAATTCCGGCGAGTATCGCCACGATATGTCGCGCTTGAAATATTATTTTCTAGATATTTGTAAGCAACAGACGCGGCAAAAAGTGACAGCGGCATATAAAAAAAAGGCAGTAATATAAAATGTAGACTAGTGGAGATCT